ACGGGCTCCCTGCGGGCGATGACGATGCCGGGCGCCGTCGCGGCCCCCCCCCCGGCCCAGCAGGTCCCCCCCCCCGTCATGGGCCCGCTCGCGCCGATCGGCGGGATGGGCCTCGCGCCGCAGCCGTGGATGGAAAGCGGGAAGATCCCCATGCAGACCCACCTCGCCGCGCCGAACGCGATGCCGATGTCGCTTATGATGAACCCCCAGGGGCAATTCATCGCGAGCACGCAGCCGCAGTTCTTCCTCCCGGGAGGCCAGCAGCCCCCCGTGGTGTACCGCCGCGTGGACGGGGCGATGTATATGCCGCCGCCGCCCTCGAACCTGAACCCGTTTCCCACAAACGCCCAATGCCTTTACCAGCAGCAACAGCAGCAACATCACCATCAACGGCATTAGTCATTTATCCCTAATTTTTTTTAAAAAGCATTAATAAATATCTATACTGTGATCGGGCAACTATAGATAGATAAACGAAGCTTGCTTTTTCTATTATATATGTATATGTATATATATATACATATAATGTATGGGATTAAAATATTTTAACTCTGCTTGTTCCTTTTTGCATCTGAAAAATACGGTAGATACATACTATCCTCCCATTGAATTAGGAGCCTAAGCACATTAAGAAGAAAAGCAATAAAAATTGAATTTGACACTGCTAATGGTGAGGACAAAAAAAAATAATTAAAGAGACAAAGTGCATCTATATCTGTTTATTATATATGTATGTCGATATAATATATATCTATAAATCTATCTATCTCTTTATATAAATATAGAGAGATATCTAGATATAGATAGATCGATAGATAGACATGAGACGATTCCATGATTCTATTTACAGAAAGTAATTACAAGTTGATTTGACCTCCAGCTCACTTTTTCTTTTCTTTTATATCACAAGATATTTCGCTATAACACTGATGGTGTTGACTGATTAATTCCCTCCAATCCATTCTACTATAATTATCAGCTAGCGCCTTTTTCACCATTAGTTTTAACCTTATTTTATTAATTGGGTTTACTTGATTTAGATTTCTCTCAAAAAAAGAAGCTTTTTGATTTTTTGGGTTTGATTTATCATATATGAAATATCTTATTTGCTTCTTTTAATGCTTTGATTATGTATGAATGAACACTATTTTTCTTGCTTTCTTAGCAGTAATTATCGAAAACTTGTATACCTGACTACAAAGGTGAGTTTTTATTGGATGATTCGTGGTGGTGTTTCCTTTCCTTTGGAGGGATTGTGATATTAATTCTTTGGAACTTGAGAATAGAAATGCAAGCTGAAATAAAGTTAGTCTATTGCCCTTAAGGACTTTACTTCTCTGAGTTTGTGAATATATAATATTCGATTTAATTAAGATGGAAAAAAAACTATACATATCCATAGGAACATCCTATATATGACACAAAACCATATAAAAAAATATTTATATGGTCTTCATCAACTTATGGTGGTGGGGAGCACGTTTCTTCAAATCTCACATGCGCCTTTTCTCCTTCCTCATGTTTTGAGTGTGGGTTGGTACGACCATTTTGGTCTTTTGGGATGGGACCATGACCCTGTTTGATTAACCCAGTAAAAGCTTTAGGCTTGTGGAACGCATACCGCTAAAGCGAAAATGCTCTGCGCGGCCCTCGCCGGGTCAATCGCGCGGGTCCTCACCCCATCCCCTTGGAGACCATCAAGACGGTCACCTTCACGGGCTTCGCGGAGACCTCCGAGTCCCCTGCGGGGAAGGGCGGTCATCCCAACGGGCCCTCAGCCCTCGCGGGGCGATCGCTCGCGGCCCCGCGTCGGGTTGCCTTTCTTTCCTCCGCGAAGGATATCTGGCGGCGGGAGGGCATCGCGGGGTTCTATCGCGGCGTCGGCATCTCGGCGATCGGGGCCATCCCCGCGATGGGGCTTTACTTGTCCAGCTACGACTGGTTGAGCACCCGCTGGCGGGGGCTCGCAAACGCCGACGCCGACCTCGACGACGGGGTTTGTTGGCGGCGGGGGCTGCGGTCGATCGCGGTGCACACCCCATCCGCGGTGATTGCCCTCACGAGCGGGTTCCTCGCGGAGGTGGTGAGCTGCGTGGTGTGGGTCCCCATGGACGTCTCGAAGGAGCGCTTGCAATCACAGCCGCCAAGCCTGCCGGGGCGCTACCGAAATAGCTGGGATGCCTTCCGCACGATCGCCCGGTATGAGGGATTGTTTGGACTTTATCGCGGGTATACGTCGACGTTGTGGAGCTTTGGGCCCTTTTCGGCAGTTTACTTCTTCAACTATGAGATTTTCACGGGTCTTTTGACCAAGTTCTATGGAAATGATGGCATTTCGACTGGGGCTGATAAGGATCCTAACAACATCAACCAACGAACTCGTGTCCTCATCGCGCTTGGTGCCGGAGCTGGCGGCAACATCGTGGCGTCTCTCACGACAAACCCTCTCGAGTTTGTCAAGACACGATTACAGGTGCAAAGGGCCATTTTAAAAGGTAATAAGAGTCCCCATTATAGGTATCAATATCGAAGTCTTTATGATGGGTTGCGCACCGTTATCAAGGAGGAGGGCGTACGGGGCCTGTGGAAAGGGGTGGGATGCCGGATGGCACATGCCGCACCTAATGCCGCCCTGGCCATGGCATTTTTTGAGTATTTCAAGGCAAAATTTGGAAAAGCCTAATGTTGTTTTTCTTGCAAATGGTTTCAATCGTAATGAGTGATCCGAATTGTATTGATTGCTTTTACCAGGGAGGTTTCTTTTGCTTTAGGAGAGAGGCGGTATGGATTTATTTATTCCATACCTGTATCTAAGTGAATTTCGTATACATCTTAAATAAACTAACATCCAACCGGTGATTCAATTTTTGAGACTTGTATGAAGTTTTTTGCCTTGGATATTTCATGGAAGGTCTCAAATTTTTTAGCTCTTATTCCATAACTTTGATGATATATTAGATGCTTTCATGTAGCTGATTTGGGAATGAGAAAATAAATATGGGTATTGCGGTTGGTGAATGATGTGTTTGCCATTATAACCTGGTCCTCACTTTTTTTTATCTTCTGATTACAACAAACTCCCAAGAAACTCGTTCATTTTCAAATCATATATCACTATTGTCTTTAACCTTTCAAAATACCAGTAGTTTTTGAAAAAGTATTTTCATCTTAAAATGTCGAATCCTTTAGAGTCTTTGTTGGGACTGTTTCCCCAACTGCGGGATCGGAACTCGGATCCTACCATCAACATCTCACGGAATGTCCCTTTAGTAATCCCTTTTAGCCAGCTAGGCATGTCCACCGGCGCGTTATCGGGCTCGCACAACAATTATTCACCCTTGAGTACTTCGAACGTGCGATCCGAGAATACGACCGGGCACGTTTACTCGGGGGGAATGCCGCCATCGCTGTGGATTCAACGTGAGCAGCAGCTCACCCCATTCCAGTTTCCGCCCACAACCACCTCTCAAAACGTCGACGACGCAAAGATTCGTGAGGAAGGCAATAAGGCGTTCAAAGAGGGACGTTACTCCGACGCGCTTAATCTTTACACCAAAGCCATCGAGCGCAATCCGAACCAGGCGCTCAACTTCACCAACCGCTCTTTTGTCAACTACCGGCTAGGAAATTACGAGGCCTCTGCTAAGGACTCCATGGAGGCGATTCGGATCAACCCCAACTTCTACAAGGCGTACTATCGCCTCGGTCTTGCGCAGGTCGCCATGGGGGAATTCGCCGCGGCCTTGGAGAGTCTGAAGAAGACCCTTGATTTGGCGCCGGTGGACGAGAAGCAGACGATCGTCGTCGCGATCGCGAAGTGCGAGTCCAAGCTCGCCCGGGCGCCGATCAACGCCTCGAACAGCTCGATGAATTTCGACTCGCTTCGGTCGCCGATGCTGATGAAATCCTCCGAGACGGACAGCGGCCCCCTGGCGCGCGAGGTGGACTACGCCTCGCTGTCGAGCCACCTCGCGGCCGTCCTGGCGAGCCGCACCGGGCTCGGGGCCTACCACGACGCCTTCGGCGCGCAGGAGGAGGTCGTGCGGTGCCGGTCGCGGGCGCAGCGCGTGCGGCACCTGATGGCCATCGCCACCACCCACCGCCTGCAGGAGCTCCGCCAGCACGCGGCGGCCACGCAGGAGGCGCTCCGCAGCACCCTCCGCAGCCAAGACCGGGTCTCCTACTACAACGCGAAGCGGAACCGCGACGAGACCTACAAGCACGTCTGGGAGACGGCCAGCGAGGTCGCCAGCGCCATCGCTACCCTGCACGA